CGCGCGCTGTGTGATCCGGTGGCCACACTTCCATTTTTAACTCGCGCAAAGAGAAAGGCTGCGACGAGACGCGCCGCAACCGGGATAATGTCCCTCTCAACCCACAGCAGCAACGTTGCCGCGCTTCACAAAGTTTCTGTTCAAATACAAATTTTTGCAAATTTTTACTCACTCCCTATACCGTGTTTTCTACATATGCAAATGGGTGGGGGTCCCCCGCAATGTGAACGTTGTTTCGCGTTCTTTTCATGTTTGTTTGAACTATTTTTCGCTTGTGTCCATTGCGAGCGAAGAAAATCATCCTTCGGAAGGAAATAAAATCGGACGTAATGAGGGAGTGCGTTGTGCAATTGTCTTGTCGTGGTCGCGGGACTGGAGATCAGGTTGAGTAGCTCGTAATTACAAATGAATGTGGAGGTGTGCGAGGGGAGAAAGGGTGAGGAGGATTGGAGGGAATGAGAGGGGGTGAGAGGGGCCCTCCCTCCCTCCCTCCCTCTTGTTACGAAGTGTCAGTCACACTTCGCTGCCCCCTTCCATGCTCCGCGAGGTGGACAACCCCTACGAGCAGCTAGGCTCCACACGCTTTGCACCTTCTCCCCTCGCATCCCTCGTTGCCCCCCCCCCCCCCCCCCCGCAGCTAGGCTCCACACGCTTTGCACCTTCTCCCCTCGCATCCCCCGTTGCCCCCCCTCTCTCTCTCTTTCTCTCTCTCGCACGCGCTCACTCTCACTCTTTAAAGCTCCTCTCCACCCCGGGCGCGAGCGCCTGGCCGGCCCGCCCCTCCACCTGACTCCCGTGCCCCTCCCCCTCACGCTCGCTTCACATTGCTTTCCCTTCCCCGCCTTCGCGCCAGAACGTACTCCCGCCCTGGCCCGTACCGTCAAGTGGACCTCGGCCTGGTCACAACGCTCCACCTGACCCCCGACCCGACCCGGCCCGACCCGACCCGTCCGTTCCGTATTCTAGTTTTGCGCGTTTCGCTCCGCGCGCGTATTTTTCCGCCCGAGCGATTTTGCAGTCCTGGGAGTTGGCGAGTTGGCCTGGCAACCCCGCCCGCTCACCGGCGCTGCGCGTGGTGCGGCTCTGGAGGCGAGGAGGGCGGTAGCGGCGGTGGCGGTGGTGGCGGTGGTGGCGGCGGCCAGCAGCGGCAGTGACGGTAGCACACGTCCTGCAGCATTGATGAGCCCAAGCCCACAAGCCGCCCCCGGCCCACCCTGACTGAGCAACTGCAATGGACCTCTCGGACTGCATCTAGATGACCAGAGGGGTGGCGAGGGGCCGCGAGAAGCCGCGAGGGGCCGCGCGGCGAGGGGCAGGGGTATGGGCGGGTCGAAGCGGAGCGGCGGGCTGCGGCGCAGTGGCGGAGGGGCGGCGGTGTCAGCACTCCCTCCTACCTACTACCCTGCCTACCTATAGCAGATAAACAACACCAGCAGCCGCGCTCTGAGAGATACATTACCAATATGAGTACGTACTACTCTGATGAAATATCGAGGAATCATCGGTAATATTTGCTGTAATATCAGTTCGTGGAGGAATGTGAGACTCGACCCCTCGGAATTGAACCCTTTCGGCGTGTATCGGAAAATGGCAATCAGAGGAGTTTAATAATTTTTGCGGTGATTCATAACGATTACCCAATGAGGAAAGACTTCCCACATTTCCTTTTGTCATAATCATGGATTTCGGCTGTCAGCGGCTGTCAGGAAAACTTCAAAGTTCGCTGCTGTGCGCTTGTTGAACTTTGTTAAATTCTGATTGGATTCTACTAGATTTATATACAACTTCCTTTCTTTGTAAATCGTAACAGTGTCGTTCTTGTAGTACTTGTAAATTCACAATTTTGAGTTGTAATTGAACGATATCTTCCATGTCACACGGGGTATCTTTCCATGAAAGTCGTACAATTACAACTCAAAATTGTGAATTTACAAACATTACAAGCACGATCAAGATCAAGAGTGGTTGGTTGGTCATGTATGACACATGTTGCATAAACGGCAAATTACAAAATATATCGTAAATGGGCGAGCATAATTTTCACAGCGTACAAACGTGAGTCGAACTGCTGGTAGGCAACCCGTCGGCACGCCTGCGCACGGTGAAGCATGCCTCTGCAAGCACGGCG